TGGGGATATTACTTGCAACTCATGGCCGGTGCATGCCTCTTCCACCTCAACTTCATCCTCAGCCTGGATGCCAATTGCTTCCTCAACCCCCCTTCCTTCTTCAAAATGTGGTCTCTCCCCTGGGAAAAGATCAAGAACCACCTCTTCTTTTCTTTCTTCCTCATCATCCACAACTTCCTTCCTCATCCTTGCTCGCTCTTCTTCTTCTAGAACAGATTGGAGAGCAAGTCACCAAGCAATTTCTTCAATGGGATCATCTTGCATCTCCTCACACGGGCCCAGCATGTTAGAGCATAAATGAGGAAAGGTGTGGTCTGCAACCAAAGGACTTTCCTGATCATGGTTATCATGGGAGTTCTCTGTGATAACTTCTGTATGCTCCTCAAAGCTCTCATAGCCTTTGTCATCCTCCACCTCTTCTAGCGTGGCAGCAGAAAGGTGATCTTGAGCAAGATGTGAACAAACTTGCTTCACCCACTCTGTTTGCTTCGCTGAGCGCTGAACAGTCTCCTCCATATCATGGAGAAATGAGGGATTGGAAGTGGCAAGGGCTTTGATTTGAATATCCATCTTGGAGCATGATTTCTCAGTGTCTCGAGCAAACTGCTCCACGAGAAGCCTTAATTGTTTATTCGGATCCTCCAGTGAAGTGTAGCATGGCTCTGCAGAGTGGCCCGTGAAGGCCGCCATGGGTAACTCCAGCTCCGATGGCCCTTCTGGTTGTGGGAGAAAGTCTTCTTGGTAATAAGGTTGTTCTTGATATGCCCAGGGGTCTGGTTGTTCTCCGTAGAATGGGGGTTGGTACTGGAACCCGAATCCATAGTCTTCTCCTCCTTGATTGCTGTAGGGAGTCGCGGGGTAATACCACCCGGATGGTGGTGGATACCCCCAATGATTGGAGAAGCCATTAGGATCCATGATTCAGATCTGTACCAACAAAAACAAAAACACCCAAGTGAAAAGCAAGGGTGGAAAAGAAAAGAAAAGAAAAACGCTAAAGTAACAAACTTCTGCCTTTCCTAATACTCTAGAAAGTCCCCGGCAACGGCGCCAAAAACTTGACTCGCTAAAACACAACACCTAACAATGGCCAAGTGTAACCAATGAAAGAGACTGCAGTATAGTGGCACAAGTAATAAATATCGAATCCACGGGTCTCTAGAGTTACTATTACTCAGCTTCAGTTCATTATCTAGCAAACTAGATTAAGGATTGACTAACCAAACTACTCTACTAACTAAACTAAGTAAAACTACTAATTACAGTTTGGGAACTCACTTAGGTATGATTCCCCTTAGCTCCTCAATTAGGTCCAAGTTGTAATTCCTTTTGGTTTTTTTACTGTTGATTAAACTGCGGAAGATCCGACAGTAGCTTGGAATCTCTTAAGCTGACCAAACCCTCTCAGTCGAACTATCCGGCAGACGACTAGTCTTCACCGGGATAGAAAGCTGAAGCAATAAGCACAGAACTCCACTACTGGAATTGGATTCCAGTACAAAGTAGTAAACTGGCTAACTCTCGTATAGCCAATCTCCTACTACCGAATGATGAGACTCTAGCAACCTAATCAGATTCTATCTATCTCAGATTGCAGCAGGAATCAGGAAAAGTTGATCAGACTTCAATTGACTCAATAAACATGCATCATTAGATTATAATCAAACAATAAAGCATCCAAAACTTCATACAAGAAAGATCCTAACTCATGGAACTAGGGTTCCTCAAAACATAAGTGAAGGGAAGTTACTCCATAGAGAAGAGAGAGACTGCAGAAATCTGATCTAGATCTTCAATCTCCATCTCCAAGCTTGATTCCCGAGCTCCAATGGCGAAGAAATCCTCCAAAATAGCTCCAAGAATGTTCCCAAGTCGCTCTCTCTCTCTAGGGTTCGTCCCTTGGGTGTTTGGGATCCAAAACCCAGCTCTCCCCCTTTCCTTTTGCTGAAAATCGGGTTTTAAACAGCAATTCCCGACTCACACGGCCAGGCCACACGGCCGTGTGGCTTTCCCAGATGCCCGTGTGAAGGCTCGGTGATTTCCACACGGCCACATGGCCAGGTCACACGGCCGTGTGGGTTGTGCCCGTGTGGCTTGCTCAGCCTCTGTTTAATGCTTCGTTTCTCCCTCGTCCGGACTCCGAATCAGTCGCCGTTTGATCTCAGACGCTCGTAGTCTCGTCCTCTTTCTTTTCATGACAAGCTTGCATGATTCTTTGTCCATAAATTGAGGTAGAAATCCATTCTTCTTCAGGTCATACCCGAGTTTCTTCTCCCGAATCGTCAATTGATCTCTGATTGACTTGAAACTTGCGCCTATGCTTCACTTTATGTGCTAGGACCTGAAATGTGACAAAGGAACACAACCTAGCATAAAATAGGCCAAAGACACGATAATTCAAGCTCAAACAATCAAGAAACAAAGGGGAAAACATGTGCAAATACCGAGTCATCAGTTGCACAAAATCGGGTTATGAAAGAGATAATAGTTGAGATAATAGTTCATCTCTAGTACAAGTATAATTTTCACCCGTTGAATTGATAGCCAACTTAAGGATGGGTTTCTAAGGGCACAGATAAAGCTTCTGACACCCCTAAACTTCATCGACAAAGTGTCTATAGAAAGTTCTCCACACAAGAAAAGTCTAGAAAAAGAAAAAATTGTTGTTTGCAAGAGAAGAAATCTCGAAAAATAGAAAAATTATATGTGTTTAAAAAAGGCAAAGTGATTAAAGGAATATCAAGTTCATCGTAGAAGCATTCAAATCGTTTATCAAAAGCTTCACCCTATTGTTTGGAGACTTTAATGCATAGTTACTTGTTAATTCTTGGGTTGAATTGCATGATGTTTTTGCATGTTAACGTGGTTAGGAGTCTTTCGTGAAATTATTGACCTTGTAAGTTCACTTTTGATCCAATACCTCTGATCATGGTTGAGTGATGATTGATTTTCATTGAGTTGTAAGATTATGAGTATTGTTTGCTTGAGAACAAACAAAGTTCAAGTGTGAGGAATTTATGATGACAATTAATTATAGTGTTTATCACTCCCATATTTGATATATTTTCCCTTATATCAATGCATCTTTAGTACTTTCTCTTATATTTTATATCTAAAATCGTAACTATTTGATCATTGGGCATTTAATAGACCTAGGTTTTGGTTTTGTACTCTTTTATGCCTTCTTGGTAAGTTTTTGTGCTTTTGCAAGGTAGAAATACAACCTAAGAGGATTTGAATCAAGCCTTGGATTACTCTGGAGGACCAAAGGAGCTAAACTAAGAAGAAAATTAAGTTTTCATATTAAAAAAGAGGTCCAATGATGGAAAAACTTACTGGGAACCATGATTTATGCCCAAGAGGAGCCTAATGGAGGAATAATCGACCCAAATTGGAACTAGAACCAGTGGTGGGTAAAAACCGCCGCCCAAGCAAACTTGGCCAAAACACGGGCAAACCTTCACAATGGTTGCTCATGGACCAAGAAGTCCAGCCCATGAAGAAACATAGTGGCAGTTTCCAGCCGCCATTAGAAGGCACAAGCCCAAATAACAATCTTTAAGCCATGCTTTGGTTTCAACTCAGAGAGACCTTGTCCTAGTGGGGTTATGAAGGTTTTGGTCGAGGTTTACCTACATAGATATGGAGCTAGACTTAATAGTTCATTAGGCTGCATGATTCCATTCAAAACTTCTGTAGACGCTCTGTTCGAGCGATAACTTAGCATTCGTAGGAGAGAGTGACGCTAAGGAGATGTCTTCATCATTGATGCTGGTACCCTCCTTCTCTTCTATGTATAGCTAATTCAAAATTGATTGTATAATAATGTGAAGTCGTTTATCTTTGTATGTACTGATGCTATGGTTTTGTATGATGCTTGTGTTTATACTATTGAATTTTGATGCCTATCATATATATGTGGATGCTTTAGTTTTGATGTTTAAGTGATGATGATTGATATTTATATAGTATGAATGCTTTCTTGTCATCGATGCTTATGATTCTATAGAATACTACTATGTGCATTGTGCATAGTATCATCTAGGTTGTTAAGAAATTATCCTCTTGTGATACCCCATTGATGCTACACGGGTATAGAGGTAATGATAAGATTCTGAGCTCGTGAAAGCTTAGATTCTTTTGTTAAAGTTGCAGAACTTTGATCTATTTAGAGTTTTCTAAATTTTCTCTCAGCAAATCGAAAAGTAAAAGATAAAGCGTTAATTGTCGTGCAATCTCAACACGAAATCGGGATAAGGCTCGAAGAATATAAGGGTAGCAACTCGACCACAATCAAGTAGAATATCTGATTGATACAGAGCTTGCTCGAATGCTGGAGATCCACCAACAAACAAGGACAACATTCAAGAGTAACAACTCAATGCACTGAAAAGGGTTTTCTATTCAACATCAATCTCCCTCAAAACGGAGTTTACAACCCTTTAAATAGGTATGGAAAATAAAACTAATGAAAGTACAGAAAAGGAAAAAGAATCCTAAACAAAAAGTAACTAAAACTCGTCAGACCAAAATACACTATCGGGTTTTTTAACCCTCCTGATCGGGGGTCCTTCTGACCCAAATACACTATCTCGAACCTCAGATCCCCTATACGGGATTTTAACCTACCTGATAGGGTATTTTTCCTAATCACCATACAATCTTTAGACTTCCCGTTTGGTGTCCAGGAAACTTCAATCTTCTCATCCAACGACTTCACAATTTTTAAATAAACTTATATTTTGATATCCAAATCCAAAATCCCATCGATTATCTTCAAACATGAAGATACAAGCCTCCAAAGTAGGTATCCTGACACTGTTTCCTTTAGCCATTTTCAGCACATCATTCTTCCACGATTGAATTGCAACTAGGAATGCTTGGAAATGAACATTTTGGATGGCTAGCTTACTCACATCAGTCCCTCCCCCTTCAAAAAGCTTTGCCCTCAAAGCTTGCAGGCTCATACACCTCAAATCCTTATCTGAATCAAAACAAAAAGGATCGTGATAGCTTGATTCAATTCGTTCTATTTAAACCACTTTAGCTTCACCACTTTTCTCTACTGCACCTTCTTCTACCTCCTTATCTGGGGCATCTGGTGTTAAAGGAATCTCTCCCTCCGCAACAATGATGTCCTTTGCATCATCTTTCAATTGGATGTCATCTTTCTCAGAACTCGAACTCTGTTGCACCGGAGCAATGTAGGAGTTGTGGGACCCACTTGGTGCCAAATTATCACGGATGGTCGTTGCTTGAAGTAGGGCAGCCAACGTCTTCTGCATATCCTTCCAAAGATCAGAGTCGACTAGCTTCTTTCTATCTTCAACAAACTCGTTCATGTCCGGCGTATACTTTGAATCAATCATGGCTTGAAACATAGCTTGTGATATGCTTCTCCTCGCCACTGATTTGAACCAGAAATACACAAACCAAAAAATCCCAGATATCTATATTTTTTCCTCTTTCAACCCACGTTCAGCTTTGTGGCTAATGTACAATTTTTTCCTTTTTTGGTTTTCTTTTTCACGTAAATAGTATCAAAATCACAAAAAAAAACCTTTCCCCTTTTTCGTGAACAGTAAAAACGGAAGAATAATACCTCTTGCCGCTGAGTTTGAACGAGGCTCTGATACCACCTAATAATATCTTGAGCTCGTGAAAGCTTAGGTTTTTTTTTCCAAAGTCGCGCAGCTTTCATCTATTTAGGATTTTCTGAATTTTCTCTCAACAACTCGAAAAGTAAAGGATAGAGTGGAAATTGTCGTGCAATCTCAACACGAAATTGAGAGCAGACTCGAACAATATAAGGGTAGAAACTCGACCACAATCAAGGAGATATCTGATTGATACAGAGCTCGCTCGAATGCGGAGATCCACCAACAAACTAGATAATATTCAAGAGTAACAACTCAATGAACCGAAAATGGTTTTCTATTCAACGTCAATCTCCCTCAAAACAGAGTTTACAACCCTTTAAATACGTCTGGAAAATAAAAATAATGAAAGTATAGAAAAGTAAAAAGAATTCTAAACAAAAAGTAACTAAAATTCATCAAGCCTTGGGTATTTTAACCCTCCTGACCAGGGGTCCTTTCTGACCCAAATACCTTATCTCGAACCTCAGATCCCCTATAGAGGATTTTAACCCACCTGATTGGGTATTTTTCGTGATCACCATACGATCTTTAGGCTGCTCGTTTGGTGTCCAGTAAGCTCTCATACAAGCCTCCAAGGTAGGTATCTTGACACTATTTCCAAACTTAGCCATTTTAAACACGTCATTCTTCCACGATTGAAGCGCAACTTGGAATGCATGGAAATGGACATTCTTCATGGCTAGCTTTCTCACATCAGGTAATGATCAACCATCTATACTCGAGTAGTATCAATGATTGATTGTTAGATCATTGATTCTATAGACCATCGATTATGGCTCAAGAGGCCTTAATCATGTGCTATCCGCACATCTCTGTTCTTCATTAATTAGGTGATGGCATGAAGCAAAAGCATGCATTAACTAGTCAAGTTCCTATTTCATGTGGAAAAAACTCAAATAGGATGACCTTAGTGTAAGGGATGGAGTGATGATATAGATAAGTCATTGATGCTTGCTATCAATGAGTATTAATGTTTATGATAGAACTCAAATATGCTTTTCTATTCAATACGTATCTTTACTTTTATGCATATATATAACTTAAAAAACCCCTAAACATCTTTTACTTTTCATTGCATACTGTACTTTCATGTTTATTATTTGCTTTGCTAGAAAATACTCTAAAAGTCTTTCCTATATTGATCAGGCATGAATGGTATGGTGTGAGTAGTTATGCATTAGAAGACCTTGTAGAATATAACTCTAGAGCATTCTAGGACTTTTATCACTTGCATGAATTGCATCATCAGTGCCTAGGGATGGGGCTTAAAGAGGTGGACATTGTGAGGATGCTAAAATATAATCGATAACATACGTGCGGGTGATGTTAGGGATGTGATGGGCGGAGTAGTGTTGACAGAGATTAGATCACTTTTGGCAATGGTGCCAGGTTATAGAGTGAGATATGTTCGTTGTTAGGCGAATGGGGTTGGCTCATTGGGTGACCAGGAAGACCCTTCATTTATACCCGCTGGGTTACAAAGGTTTTGATTTCTATAGTTGGTTAAGAGCTACAGTTTTGTAGACGATCCCTATTGTGTTCGGATGGATTATTGTTGTATCACGTTGCGTTGTTGAAATGCAATGGAGCTATTGAAAAAAAAAATATAACTCCAATGCAATCACAGTTATCAACCAGCAGCTTCACCCAGTTTGACCCGGACCAGGTGATAAAAACGGGCACCACACACCCTCGGGTAGACCTGCAGCAAGGTTCCCCAATTGGAGGTCATTCGACGTCATTTTTCCTTTGGTTTGCAAAAGCGCCTCTTTTCCAGTTTTCCTCTTCGTGTCATTTTTTCCTTTGGATCTTTGGAACTAGTTTTTTACCCGGCTCGTTGGCCAAATAATTTTATTTTATTATTTATGTTAATTAATTTATCTATATGTTTAAAACATTTTTAATCTTCTAATTTTTATGCTTACTCTTCATAAGTGAGTATGTGATATGTCTATATTAAAAATTCTCAACTTAGCATGCTCACCTATGATGCTTTGATTCTCTAATCATAAATCATATTGTGAAGGTTTATCATGTCCCATTTAGAATAGTATACAAAGATCTGACAACCAAAGTGCTCAAATTTATTATCTTATAAAACATATAACAATTCATGACTCTTGAGATAGGACAAAACTCTTAACCAATTATCAAGAGTTCAGATTATCAGATAAATATACTTCATTACTGGATAAATTGTGTTTATCTCAAGTGAAACTTGACACACACCGTGCCCCTTGTGATGATCAAATTCTCTAACATTGCCTCATTTTCATGTGAATGTTCGTGATCATATTATATTAAAATTTGTCTGTCCCGAGACTCAAACTTAGTATCTTAGATAATAGAGTAAATACATTTTATTTGCCAAATCTTTCAAACTTTTCAAATTATCAACCAAACTTTTCAAAATGCAAAGTATTAGCCAGACGTTAACTCTCCGTTAGCATTTTTTTTAGTAATTTTGACTCAACAACATGATTATGATTTGGAAGAGACACGTGACGGTCTATATTCTAATTTATTATTTTTATTAGAAAAAGAGTTACAAATTATTACTGATAACAGATAAATGGTTAATATTTTGATGTGATGCAAAATATTTGGATAATATTTTGATGTGATACAAAATATTTGAATAATATTTTTTATTTTTAATGGTTTGGCTAATAATTTAAATTTTTTGAAAGCTTTAGCTATTAAATTTTATTTACTTAATATGTATCAATTGTTAATTATTGAAGTTTGGATAAACCCTCAGTCAATGGTTGTTGTTTATATGTTGGCTTAGAATCTCACACCAAAAAACTCTCACACACTATCAAGAGTTCTCTTCTGGTATTTTAGTGTATAATTTTTCAGCTTTTTAATGTGCATTTGAAAAAATTTCCTTATTTTTGGTGTTAGTTCTGGAACAAAATTTTCATTATATATCTTAATAATTAATAAAGAATGTCTACACTGAACATAAATTATAGACACATCTACTGATAATATCTAAGCTTATATAAAGAATTTACTTTATCTTTAACCCTGATTAGTAAATAAACTTGTTTATCATACATACTAGGTCAATGCTAGGTCAGTGGTTGTTGAAACATTATGTTTATCATGCATACTCAAAAAATATTTCTCTAACATTCACACATGTCATATAACACTTGTACATCGTCAAGTTTCTATCCAGACCTTTTGCTATACAATACTTGTTTTATTTTCTAGATATATACATTAGATATAAGAGAGTGTTTAATAGCAAAATATAAAATAATATAATTCACTTTTGAAATTAGATTGTCTAACAATTGTTTTCGCTTTTTCAATCGTTATATTTTGTTCAATTGAAAATTTATATTTTTTAGGAAAATTGAAAAATTATATTAATATTTATGTATGTGTTTGTTTAAAATTTTCAATAAAATGTAACCTATTATTAAGTTTATTAAAAATGAGTAGAAAATTTACTTGATAAAGTTTAATAAGATATTTTGATTTAAACAAATACAATATGTATCACTCTACAAACATCGATATAATATAAAAACAAAAACAAACATGAATTATAGGACAAAAGAAGAAAGAATCATTAAAAGAAGAGAGAGATAACATAAATAAATCATTAACTAACTTTTTTGTTTGTAAGAAAATTGTCCACCTTGGCAACTTGTGAACTCTTCAAGTGCTTATGTGGCAAGAAGTTGTTTTTGAACAACCATAATATATAGTAAGAAGATAAGATAAGATAAGATAAGATAAGAAGATAAGATAAGATAAGATTCCAAGTTAAACATTTTATTTTTTGGGATAAGGGTGATGTAGGTTCATTTTTGTGATTTAGGTACTACTTAAGGGAATGGAACATAGGACCTACAGGTTCAAAACTAGTGGTATTACCACTAGACCAAACCGTGGTTCGTAAACATTTGAATATTGATGTTTATGAGAAAGTTTGAATTCTCAATATATGTTTTGTAGACACCACATTTTGTTCGGGGGACAACCAGTCTACTTTAAATTAAAATGGTAAATTAAATTGGATGCTTGGAAAGTATTGATTGAGATTGCAATGACAAATTAATAGGTATCAATGATTTTCAAGTTCGCTTTTAGTTAACTAGAATATCGATTTGGTTGAGACTAGCAGTGGCGAGTCAATAATGACCAATTATTACGAAGTTTGCTCCTATTTGAGCATAGGATCGATTTAGTTGAGATGGACTACAACACTTGTTCGTAATTAATATTTTGTTAGAATGACGAAGGGTTTCCCTAGAATAATTAAAGATTTGGCGTTGGAGTTTAAGATTATTTTTGGGTAGAACGATGAAGGTTTGCGACTTTGGATAGAAAGAAAATATGATGGGTAGGTTGGTAAAAAATGATGGACTTCAAAGTCCATGATCAATTCCCACCTAAAGAGTTGAAATTTTCGAATCCGTGGGGCCCAAGAATTTGGACCCTCAAAGTCCATGAGTCCCACAGATTTGGTATCTCTAAATACTTGAACCAAACAATGGATTTCGGATAAAGTCCATCATAAACTCAAATTCATCAAGCAACCAAGCCCTAGGGTACTTAACATGAATAACCAAATCAGAATCCTTCTTTTAAGTGGCTGTAGATCTAAGAGTTGTAAATTAAAGACATTTAATTTCCCCTATTTTTCTTAATCGGATCATATCTTCTTCATTTTAACTTGGTTTCAAATTTTTTTTTTTGCACATATAGAATGAGTTCGTTGTGCTCTACAAATGAAATCAATTTTCAATATTTTTTGAGATTTTTTTTATACTTCTCGTTACCAAATCTATACCATATGATATCTCCTTCGTTTTTTAGTCGCTTTTCGAAATTTTTGTACAGAAGGAACGATTTAATCATGATTTATTGGATTTCAAAAATTTGTGGGTGAAAAAATTTCATATCTCTCGTTACCAATTTCATACCATATTATACCAACTTGGTATGAGGTGTTACTTTTCATACCATATGATATGCTTTTATTTAATATCAGTCAATACCATATGGTATAGACTGGTAATAACTGACTCAATTTTTTTTTTGTTTCAAAATATATTAAAGTGTATATCTTTTTGAAAAACACAATTAATCTGATCTAACTGTGAAAATAATTTAAATTCCGACTTAAAACGAGTGAGAAATCATCCGTTAATATTAAAAGGAGAAATTAAAGACTTTTTAGAAGAGAGAAAGTTGGGATAATAATCTATAAATTTTAAATAATTATTAATAAAATAAAAAATTGACAAAAAAATAAAAATAAAATAGGCACTAAATACAAGAAATGATATAAAAAATCTAACTCATGTTTGCATAGTAATTGAATGTTTATATTATTCATTTATTGTTAATTACTTGATTAATTATAATGTGTAAAAGTTAAATTTGAGGACAATTTTGGAATATTAAAAGTGCTTGAGGGTATAGAGATAAAATCTCATTAAAAATTTATGTTATATTCCAAATCCCACATCAACATGTAAGATTTATAAGTTCGTGGTGTGGGGTCCACGGATTTGGACCCTTAAAATTCGTGTATCGCACGGATTTGGTCTCAAAAAAAGTGCAAGTAAATAATAGATTTTTGTTAAATTCATAATGAATTAAATTTGGGTACCAAATTCAAATCCACTAAGCAAACCAGCCCTTATACACCCCCCAATTCCGTTCTGAACCCAATCTTTTCTACAGCCCCAAATTCGCCGCCATACCAATTCAGCTGTGCTTCCGCCGGGCCGTCAGTGAGCAACCTCCCCGAACACCTGCGATTCATTGACTACCTCGAGCACGTCAGCTGCTCATCCCTGTTATCTCGCTTGCTTAGCGGCAGTTTGTTCAGCTTTCAGTCAGCTTCTTTTCCTCTTCCGCTTGAAGAGAAATCGCGTTTTTACGTTTTAAGGCCGGAGTGGGGAGCTAAACGGACGGATTTGACATCCTTATGTCAAACTGTGTGTTTCCTAGCTCCCAAGCCCGAGCTATGGAGTAGAAGCAGCGGAATGGCGCTGTGAATGAACTGAAGAGGGTGAATCTTCCTGACGCGAGCTTTTTCAAACGTTCAGCCGCGGGAAGCCACCATGGCTCTTCTTCAGTCGTATTTTTCTTATAAGGTATCTAAATTGCTATTTGACTTTTCTTCTTACAGGGGGCTGATGCTTGATAGGCTGGAAAAGGCGGGGATTTTTTCTTTTTGTTATTTTCTTCTAAAGAATTGCTTGGAAGCCAAGTAGGAGTCGTATATAAGAACAGGAGATTACCTTACAGTACATGTTCAGGGAATTTGAGAGATACAGAGCTTAGGTCTTTGTTATTTCCGTGCTTGGGAATTGAGTTTGAAGGATCATTCAGCTAGCATATCTCCTTTTCCTTCGTTTGAAGCTCTGAGAGAAAATTCAATGCCGTTTGATTACTGGCTCTTACAGTTCGGGAATACTATTTTATTTGTTTTCTGGTGATAAGCAGGTGTGAAATGATGATTTTTAGTACCTGTCCTGCCAACTGCTTGCTAAAATGTCAGGATTGCTCTGAGTTAAAGATTTTAGTGACTCTGTCTCTCTCTCTGGCTGCTCCCATCTTTCCATTCTGTAATCCCATACTATGTTGAATGCAGCTATATAGAAGTTTCATTATTTTCTAAGTGCTGGAATCCTAATGGTTCTTTTTTGGAATGTACTTTGTTGTTTCCTCAGGCTGCTGTCAACTAACTGTCTCTTATGTTATCAGGTGTTGTCCCATAAAAATTTTGGGACAGCTACTTCTGAACGCTTGCTTCATCTCAGGAGAAGATCTTCAAGATCACAGTTTTCCACATATCCGACAGAAGAGTTCACTTCATCAAAGCGAAGATCCCGGGGACCTGTCATGGCAGCGAAGAAAGCCTCTGAAGGTGTGTCATCCCTGGGTTTCATTATCACAGATATGCAATTCATCAATGTCATGGTTATGGGGATCACTTATCTATTTGTTGTAAAGTATTTATGCTACCTTTTCCACTCTATAAGATGAGTAGCTAGTTTTCCCTATATTTTTCTTTGGTTGAAATTCTCAGGGGAAAAGCTAGAGGAAGGAAGGTACAAGCACACAGTTGATTTACCAAAGACAACATTTGGCATGAGAGCAAATTCCTTAGTGAGAGAACCGGAGATTCAGAAGTTATGGGATGAGAATGACGTGTTCAGGAAAGTTATTGACAAAAATAATGGGGTGAGTTCATCAATATGTTTGTTTTTTCTGTTCTATGTTAACTTGTTGCCTAACTTACTTCAAACTTGTCAGGAAAATTTTGTGTTACATGATGGTCCCCCATATGCAAATGGGGATCTCCATATGGGCCATGCCCTAAATAAGATCTTGAAGGATATAATTAACCGATACAAGGTATATGTAGCTCTACAGATTTTTCCAAATATCTCTGTTTTATATATTTTGGACAGACATGATAAACCAGGAGAAATAGCCAACTTGATTCACTCTAGCTATTGTGATGTTCACATGTAGGATAGAGTTGAAGTTTATATGGTGAACATGGGCAAAGGTTGCTCTTATTATCATGTTGTGATCTGAATGATAGATGACAAGCACAATTGACAAATAAGTGTTTATCGTTCTTTTTATCCTTATTGTTTCTTCTGGCAGATCCTTCATAATTATAAAGTTCATTATGTACCTGGTTGGGACTGTCATGGCCTCCCAATAGAATTGAAAGGCAAGTATTTGCCAATCTAATGATAATGTTTGGACATTGTGGGTATAATTTGCAAAAGGTTTGTTGTAAAATCACGCTTAACTTAAATATTACCAAGCTGCAGTTCTCCAGTCGTTGGATCAGGATGCCAGAAAGGACCTGACGCCCTCAAAGCTAAGGACAAAGGCAGCAAAATTTGCAAAGGCGACTGTCAAAACCCAGATGGCATCATTTAAGGTACAATCTCCAATTTTAATCGTCTTTGTTAAACCTTGGGATCACTTAAGAGATGGCTTTGGTGATTTGCTGAACTTTGATATAATGTCATGTTTTTCTCACTGAATGATTATTGTTTGCTTTAGTATTATTGGGATGACTGCATGAATTTACTAATGTGCATTTCTGATTCATTTCATGTATGCAGCGCTATGGAGTATGGGCAGACTGGGATAATCCTTATCTAACTCTTGATCCACAGTATGAAGCTGCCCAGGTAGTTACTCTATCATTTTCAGAAGAGTAAACATTAAAAGAACAAAATATCTTGCAACTATTCATTATTGATGAACGATTGCTTGTTATCATAAGCCCAAAATCTTTCCAGGGTTCTGCAGAATTCAAATACGTATTAAGAAAAATTAGGGGTTAAAGTTCTTCATCACATATCTTTTGCTTTGGCTATACATGTTTTAGCAACAAGACGAAATCTAATAACAATTTTGTCTTCCGTTAGATTGAAGTATTTGGGAAGATGGCCCTTCAAGGCTACATCTACAGAGGCAGGAAACCAGTTTACTGGAGTCCCTCATCACGCACAGCTCTTGCAGAGGCAGAATTGGAGGTACTCATTTTTGCTTGAACATTCCAGGTTTATCTCAAGCTATTGAACTTAGCTTTTGCTGATTTAAGTGAGGCCTACTGTTAATTAATTCAAAACCTTTCTAAATTCAACATGCATTATTAATTGATCGGCAAGAAGCCTCATGGTGCCTACATGTTATTGTCAAGAACCCTCTTAGGTATATTTTGGGAAGAAATTAACTTCGTCTTGCAGTATCCTGAAGGGCATGTTTCGAAGAGTATATATGTTACATTCAGAATGGTGTGTAATCCGACTACTTCAAATGGGTTACTAGAGGAATTCTTTCCAGATCTGTGTCTGGCCATTTGGACGACAACACCATGGACGATTCCAGCCAATGCTGGTAAATGTTTTGTTATGCTTATAATTGACATCTCTTTATGTTCTTCTAACCACTGCCATGGGCTGTTTTTGGTTTGACATTGTTCTCAAATTTGTGATGAATTCATAGTTTCCAAAGTCGGTTGTACCTGTTGACCACTTTGCTTGGTCTCAGTTGTTCTTCCTCGATTAAACCTTTCCCTGCTTGCCTTTTATTTCAGCTGTGGCAGTAAATGATAAACTTCAGTACGCCATAGTTGAAGTTCAATCATTCTTGGAAGATTCTTCTCCTTCACTGGGAAAGAAAAAACAAAGGCCTGGAAATCTTCTCAAACAAAAGCTGCCATTCCTTGTAGTCGCATCCGATCTCGTGGCAACACTCGAAACAAAATGGGGTGTGAAGCTTCTTGTCAGGAAAACAATTTTGGGTGCTGAACTTGAAGGCTTCAGGTTTGTAAATGAAGAGCCCTGTTAATCGATGAAACGAATAAGTCGCTGTGATACTGTACCTTGTCTCATTGCGTTGGTATTTGGCAGCAAGTAAATTTGGTTTCTAATCTTGGTTTCAGTTACACTCATCCAGTGGACAAAAGAGAATGCCCAGTTGTGATCGGAGGAGACTATATTACTACCGAATCCGGAACCGGACTAGTGCATACCGCTCCTGGGCATGGTCAGGAGGATTATGCAACTGGTATAAAATACGGATTGCCAATGCTTTCCCCTGTAGATGATGATGGCAAATTCACTGAAGAAGCTGCACAGTTTAGTGGGCTTGATGTGCTTGGGGAGGGTAATACTGCAGTGGTGAAATATCTGGATGAAAGATTGTCAATCATCATGGAGGAATCCTATCGTAAGTTGGTTATACATTCTTTGCAGCAAGCAAAAAGAAAAAGCGGGGTAGCCATGTAACACTGTATCATGTACTATGTGCAGAACACAAGTACCCATATGATTGGCGAACTAAGAAGCCCACAATATATAGGGCTACTGAGCAATGGTTTGCATCAGTTGAAGGTTTTCGTCAGGCTGCTATGGATGCAATTCGGCATGTGAAATGGACTCCTCCTCAGGTATCAATATTTTGTTGCATCAGTTAATCATGTGACTTCTTTTCTCTGGTCCAAATGGCTGAGTGTGTTGACAAACCTTCTCCAGGCAGAAAACAGAATTTCTGCAATGATATCAAGCCGCTCTGATTGGTGCATTTCTAGGCAAAGGACATGGGGTGTACCCATCCCGGTATTTTATCACGTGAAAACGAAGGAACCACTTATGAATGAAGAGACTATCGAACATGTCAAATGTAAGAACTTGCCAGGAGCAGTTGGCATTCATTATCTGATATTTCTTTTCCGTTTCTGGTGATATCTGCATAAAGGTTAGATTTTTATTTTTCGTCATATTGGATTCATGGTCTTTATTCGCAGCAATAATAGCACAGAAAGGTAGTGATGCTTGGTGGTACATGAAAGTGGAGGATTTACTCCCTGACAAATATCGCGATGAAGCATCGGAGTATGAAAAAGGCACAGATACAATGGATGTCTGGTTTGACTCAGGTAATGTAGTCTGATTAAGTTTAGTAACTTCAATGGACTGATATGTTTGTCTGGTAGGACTATGGTATATTAACTTATTACTATTGAACTGTGAATCTGTGATTCACCAGGTTCTTCCTGGGCGGCTGTGTTGGGAAAAAGGAGCCTTATGTTCCCTGCAGACCTATATCTTGAAGGTACAGATCAGCACCGTGGATGGTTCCAGAGTTCTCTGTTAACAAGCATGGCCACAAAAGGTATTAATTAAGCATCCCTAACATCAACTTTATTGCGATCTTGCTATAATTGATGATACCTAATTAAACACATGCTTTCCAATATGTAGGAATGGCCCCATACTCGAGTGTGATAACCCATGGTTTTGTGTTGGATGAGAAGGGTTACAAGATGAGCAAATCTTTGGGTAATGTTGTCGACCCACGTGCTATAATTGAAGGAGGGAAAAGCTCCAGGGTATTAAATGTTGTAGATTGTGGGACTGCATCTTTGTAAAGGTTCTCCCCTTCCATGCGTATTGATTTTTATCCACCTGTGATAGGATGAACCGGCATATGGAGCTGATGTCCTCCGTCTGTGGGTTAGCAGTGTAGATTACTCAGGTGATGTTATGATTGGTGCTCAAGTCCTTCGCCAAGTTTCTGACATGTATAGAAAATTAAGAGGAACCTTGAGATACCTTTTGTCAAATCTGCATGATTGGAAGGTAAGTTGGTCTACATATATATTTAGCATGATAAGTTCAAGCTATGGAATCCAGCCCCAAATGTCTCGAGTGGAATCTTCTGTTCACATGGTGATTTTCTGTTGCAGGCTGATAATGTTGTTTCATATCACAATCTTCCCATGATTGATAAACATGCACTGTTTCAGCTGGAAAACGTTGTCAAGAACGTCAAACTTAGTTATGACCACTATCAGTTTTTCAAAATATTCCAGGTTGAAGATTCTCCCATTCAAAGCTGTAGATAACTCCAGTGTCCTGTCAATATCTCAAAATCGATTCTTTATTTGATCTTACAAGAAGTTGTTCCTTGTTTCAGGTCATACAACGGTTTGTTATTGTTGACCTCTCAAATTTCTACTTTGATGTTGCTAAAGATCGACTTTATGTGGGGTAATTCTCCCCCTCCCATATCTGCATTTCATTGCAGTTGCTTTACTGTCAACTTTTTCTTATTTTGTGTTTTCCTTCGTGGCACTATTCTTTTCATAGTAAAGGAGCATAAAGTGCCTTTAACCCTTTAGAAATTAGTGACCTTGTGAAAGAGCAGCTCTTCCGAATTTGATAGTTTTTTTCAGGGGATCAACGAGTTTCACAAGGAGAAGCTGTCAGACGGTTCTTGCTGCACATCTCCTGTCCATAGTTAAGGTCATCGCCCCAATATTGCCTCATTTGGCTGAAGATGTATGGCAGAATCTACCCTTTCAATATACCAATGCTGATGGTTCTACAGCCAAGTTTGTTTTCGAGTCGAAGTGGCCCGATTTGAACGAGGAATGGCTCTCGCTTCCTGATGAAGAAGCTGATTTCTGGGCCAAAATTTTGGAGGTTAGTAATTCTATTTTTGCTTAGAATCATTAAAATTGGTAGTAGAACCGAATTCTCAAGTTGTTCTTTAAGTTTCTTTGATAATATCTTCAGCACACGTGACTGGCTTCTAACCTGTTTTCGCCTTTGACCAGCTGAGGACTGAGGTTAACAAGGTTATGGAGACTGCTCGTACTGGCAAGCTTATAGGTTCCAGTTTGGAGGCTAAGGTTTACCTTCACACTTCTGATGATAGCCTGGCCTCGAAATTGCACAAAATGAGTGCAACCGGCAATGACGCAGATGCACTACACCGCATATTCATTACTTCCCATGTGAAAACCCCCAACTTAATAGACTTGAGCTGCTTCTTTCCTTTGGAAAGTGTTCTAAATTGGTCATCTCTCAACAATAATTACATTTGATTCTGCAGGCAGAAGTAGTATCAAACGTGGACAAGGAGCTAGCCCAAACCGTATCTTACACGGGAGAGTATCTCATCCAAGGAAACAACAGAGTTTGGATCGGAGTTTCGCGAGCAGCAGGGTCCAAGTGCGAGAGATGCTGGAACTACACTCCCCAAGTTGGTTCATTTACCGAGCACCCAACCCTCTGTGAACGCTGCTACAATGTAATTGGCGTTCTGCCTGAGCCAACTTTGGCTGCTGTTAAATGAGAGTCCAAGTAAACAAAATCCAGAAGTCCCCAGCAAACTACAGAGATGGAGTTACGCACAGTTTGTTATTTGTGTGCATTGTTTGCGTTCTTCTCTGGTGCTAGTCAACTGATGCACGGCTTGCTGTCTTGATTAGAAGGTAGTTTCGGTATCTAGAACACAGATATCTCCAGTGACATTCAATTGAATCACAGGGAAACGCCCATAAACTTTATGCTCAACATAACTGTTTCTTTTTTACCTGTGCAGGTTGTTAATCATGAGGTTCGACGTAAGCTTGTGGTTTGGGGCAAATTGACTTTTCCTTATCGTCATTCACATTCTGTCGTCCTCATTTTTCTTCATACGCACCATTTTCAAGTACATGCAGATAATCATTGTCCAACTCACCCAATCAAAACTCTACTTACAAATCAATATAATTCAAATACATTTTTAGAGTTACATTAAACATAACAGTGATGCAATTGTTTCCGAGTAGTGCCCAAGAAGTAATCATAGTGGTCCTTCTGATGAGTATGGATTTGTTCCTCAAGGATGGGGATGGGGATGGGGATGGGGATGGGGATGGAGTGGAGAGTATGCCTATGTTTGGCCCGGTTTTTAGAAGTGTTTTTTGGCTTTAAAAGGTGAAGCAGGGTCAAACATCTCTAAAAGCTCGGCTTTTGAAAAGTCGAAAAACGCTTTGAACTTCAAAAGTAGAAGTTTCGATTTTGAACTTCTGCGAAAAGCTGTTTTGAAAAAACAAGATTATTCTTACCATATTTTAATTTTATTTCAGAAAATATAATTTTCCTTCATTTATATCATTTTAAAAAGGGTTAATTACATGGTTGGTCACTGAGATTACAAAAAACGTTCATGTTTGGTCACTCGAAATATTTAAATCCATTGATGGTCCCTTAATTTAGTGAAACCGTTCACGTTTGGTCACTCTCCGTTAGTTGCCATCCATCTCCGTTAACAGAGTCCATTAATTGATGACGTGGCAGACGGAATCGCCTAATCAGCCCTATTTAGCCCGAAAATAATGAGACCCGACTCGCCATGTCATCTAGATCAACCCAACCTTCTAACCAGATCAAATCCAATCTTTAAACTGACCGACCACACAAATTAAATCCCTAAAATCCAAATCAGATCTGCATTAACAACCTTCACTTCCTTTCACACTTATCCTCTTCCAGAAAATGACCCATGGAGATTCCTTTCTGCTCCCTCCACCAAATCTCCATTTCCAGAAAATGTGCCCATGGAGATTCATTTCCGCTCCCTCCACCAAATCTCTATTTCCAGAAAATGCCCCATGGAAATTCTTGTCCAGAAAAATCCCCCATGGAGGTCCTCCTCTCTTCGCTGCTATTAAGCGGCGACGGCGCCTCCGATTCCACCTTGCATCCGACCCGTGTGACATCTCAGCGGTGCCTGCGGCTACGGTGACCTGGTCCGGGCCGAGTACGGGATGGTGATGGTCGGGCTCAGCGAGTCGTTGTTCGACGTGGCTAGATCTCTTGTGCATGCTTCGAGCTCTGCTACGTTGATGACCTCCGATGGTGCATTCGAGGGACTTCGATTATCGTCGCGGTGACAAACTTCTGCCCTCCTAATTAGGGATTCCCTTCCGACGGCGGGGTCAGTATAACCCTGCCAACAAGCACTTCGTCGCGGGTGAAATATCGCACAGTGAAGAGGAAGAAAGTGGGGAGGAAGGAGGTGAACCATCGAAGAAGGGATAAGTGGAGATCTGATTTTGATTTTAGAGATTTAGTTTGTGTGGGTTGCTCAGTTCAAAGATCGGGTATGGTCTGGTTAGAGGGTTGGGTTGGTTCAGATGACATGGCGGATATTAGTGACGTGGCGGTCGGGTCTCATTATTTTCGGATTAAATAGGGCTGATTAGCCAATTCCGTCTGCCACGTCATCACTTAACGGACTCTGTTAACGGATATGGACGACAACTAACGGAGAGTGACCAAACTAAGGGTCTCGTTAAATAATATGATTTAAAATAAATTATAAAATCATATTATTTAATATAAAAAAATCAAACAAGATCCATTTTAACTACTTTTTATTGTTTAGAATTTTTATTCATATTTTATATTATAAGTCCTTTATAGTCATTTTACACAAACTCTCATATTAAAAAGCACTTCTAATAGTTTTACAGCCAAACACTCAAATGCTTTTTTTGAAAAGTACTTATCTAAAAGCACCAGCCAGAAGCTGCTTCTGCAAAAGCTACCGCAGGGCCAAACTAAGCTTATGTATCGATTACCTCCGGCTGAATTATGCTACAAGGAATGATCCCTTCTCACTTCCATTAATTGAATATGTTCTTCAGTGATTGTCGGGTATGACTATTTCTATTTTGTCGAAGGAATGTTCAACTACATACATATTCCTATGGCACCAAAAGATTACGAGAAGACCACTTTCACTTGTCTGTTTGGTACATTGGCATACAAATGAATCATATTTGGCCTATGCAATGCACCAACAACTTTTCAGGGTGCATTTTAGCAATTTTTGACAAGTTGTTATGGAAGTATTCATGGTTGATTTTTCCGTCTTTGGAGATTTCTTTGATCTTTGCTTATAGAACTTGGAAATGGTGTTGATAAGATGTGAGGAAATCCACTTAGCTCTAAATTGGGGAAAGTGTCACTTCATAATCGAGAAGGGCTTGTCCTTGGGTACAAAATAGTAAACAAGGAAATCGAAGTAGATAGAGTGAAGATTGAAAAATTAGCAAGTTACCCTCTTCAACATCCGTCAAGGGAATTCAAAGTTTTTCGGGCACACATGTTTCTATAGATGATTTAATCAAGACTTCTCAAGGATTGCCTTGCCTCTAACGAAGATACTCAAGAAAAACGCCACCTTTGTGTTCTCAAAAGAGTGTCACGTAGAATTCAAGACTCTAAAGAGAAACCATATAGACCCATCATGGTTGCCCCGAACTAAAATCTTCCATATGAGGTCATGTGTGATACAAGTGATTTCGCATTGAGGGCAGTATTATGATAAAGGAGGGACAAACACTTCCATCCCATCTACTACACGAGTAATGCTTTAAATTATGCTCGGGAAAGCTATACAAGCACATAGAAATAACTGCTTGTTGTCGTGGTCTTTGCATTTGATATGTTTCACCCATATTTATTACTCTCCAAGGTGATTATCTTCTCCGATCACTCAACACTTCGTTATTTAACGACAAAAGCTGATGCAAAATCTCAATTTATCAAGTAAATCCTCCTTTTCCAAGAGCTTTACATGGAAATTTGAGACAAAATGGGAGCATGGAACTTAGCAGTTGGCCATTTGTCTATACTTGAAGGTTCACCCACCAGCAACAACATTGAGGAAGAAATTAAATATTCTTCTCTAGACAAAAAGCTTTAAAATACAAGCAATGTTAAGGGAAAAACATCGTGGTTCATATACTTCTCAAACTATTTAGTTGACAGGCAGTTGCCTACTGAGATGACTTAGAAAGACAAGAAATTTTTCGTTAATGTCAATCATTGCATCCGGAACGATCCATAATTGTTCATAGTAGGTACTGGGTGCAGAATGTGTCCTTCGACGATGTATGACCTTTCCAAAAACGACAGATATTTTGTCCCATTGCCACTACGACCCTATAGGAGGGATTCACGGTGACAACCACAAGTCGAGAAAAGTTCTAAAGTCAATGTTCTATTTGCCAAGACGTTTTAAGGATGCCGAATATTTTTGTCGAGAAGATGTGACTGGTGCCAACAGTAAGGAAATATCTCATCCTGTGATAAAATTCCATAGCAAGTCTCCATTGTTTCTAAATCTTCTCTGTGTGGGGGTATTGATTTCATGGGACCGTTTCCTTGGTCATATGGATGTCGACACATTGGTGGTTGTAGACTATCTTATCAAGGTGAGCGGAAGCACAAGTCTTACCTACTAATGATGGTCGACAAGTGTGTAAGTTCCTCAAGAAATTGTTCTCTCTCTAGCAGCCCTTGTGCCATAGTGAGTGACCGGGGCACTCCTTTTCAAGGACAATTCAAAAAATATTCGGGCACTACAGTTACGCATCATAGGATCTCCATGACATACCATCTCCAAACTAGTGGGCAAGCTGAAGTGAAAAGTCGAGAGTTCAAGAGAATCCTTGGAAAAATGGACAATCAATCACGGAAGGATTGGTCTACAAAGCTTGATGATGTACTATGGGCATACCGAAAATCATACAAGACACCAATCAACATTTCACCCTATCGAATTGTGCATGGGTTGATTGACTATGGCGCGATTAAGGTCACCAAGCAAGCCTTGGTTAAATTCGAAATGGGGGAGTACAAAGATGAGATTCTTTGTGATATTGCACCAATGTAGACAGCTCCCCTCCTGTTGGGTCCTCCATGGCAGTTCGATTGAGGCGTAGTTCATGAGGGGAGGAGCAATTTATACAAGATCAAACATGAAGGTGGGAAGATTATGCTCAAATCATTGTCGCCAGCTGAAGTCTGATAAGATCAACAATAGATGGAGCTGAATTGGGCAAAGGGAGAATGGAAATGCAAGTGGCTCGAAGTTGGAGAACGAAAGTGGAACCTAACTTTTAGGTCGGAGACATATGTTGACTGCTCTGAGAAGAATTCCGTTGGGAAATTCTGGTGATGGTCTCTCTTGTATGAACACACAAACTTTGTGGGGAAACCTTCTTAAACAGGGAGGGACCGATGCAAGACTCAAGAGTAATCCAAAGTCATTCTCGCCGAAGCTTAGAGAAGAGCACACTTCGTGGAAGCAAGGAGGGCCAAAGAGCACGAGATTCCAAACCACGGACACCAATTCCCTGACCGGGGATCAACAGGGCAGCTGGGGATGATGCAGAGAGGGACCCCCGACCAGAAACGGCCAAATCCCTGCCCAGGGATCTGAAGTCATGCTACTAGGGATCAGGTACTGGCGGGCTGGAATTACCTTTAGTGTTTAGGATTCTTTTTCTTTTCGGGTTTTTGATGAGTTTTTTGTTCTTTGGTGTATTTAAAGGCTTAGACTCGAGTTTTAGAGGAGACTTTGAAGATTATTGATTTTATTCTTGTTCATTGAGCTTTGGCTTGTAAATTTGTGCTTTGTATCACTCGAGTTTTCCCCTTGATTGTGGTCAAGTATTTTGATATAGCCTTTTACTAGGTGTGAGATTGCACTTCATTTCTGTTTTATCCTTATTTCTAACCCCTATTCTTGGTTCTGCGACTTTGATAACTACGTGCACCGGTTCCGTGCTCGTATCAGGTGGTGGACCCGACTGTGGAAGTAATGTATATTGAATGCCCCTAACAACTCTTCCACCCTCTTCTAGCTTGTGACGTTCAAGAAGCACTTTGTAGTTCATTAGTTCTTATGTTTTAGGTTTTTCCATTTTGTGATCGAACCACCCCATTTTCCTCTTTCT